AATTTTGAATGAGATGATCTAACATGAGCACTTCTGCAAGCATCTGCAGATTTTTTTCAAATTTGCGTAGGCAAGTCGCTATTCGTCAGAATTTTCAAAGAGCTTTTTTGACATTTTGAATGAAGCCCTAAAGCATGATTTCTTCCTGCCAGTTTTCATTCAAATGTCAACTTTTGAATTCGACGGCCCCATGGGCACTTCCCGATTTCCAGTTCGCCTCCTTCTCTGCGTGTATTTGTCGATTTCTTTCAATATTCCTCGTTAACTTTATCTCCGAGTATTTACAGAATTTTCTGAATTTCAGTACCTTCCTCGTCCAGAAACTTTCGCCGAACCGGTGCCCATCACAAATCAATCGGTAAGTCCATTCGTTTCACTTGTCAACTGAGGTCAGTAAGTCATAACTAGCCATAACCGATACTGTATAGGAGTCTTCACCGGATACAGGGCTCAGAGTAAAAGCTTCTCGCTTCTCGGTAAGCCAGGCTCCCCATCTCTCGGGGTAACTGAAACCCATCCCTGACCGGTTTGACAGTGCTAAAACATCATGTTCACGAACACGAAATCTTGCGTTTGGAAATCATAGCATATACATAACCAGTCAGCTTGCCGGCTGACGCCGGCACTCCTTCTGGTACAGCCTGGCTTCGCCGGGCGGGCCCGCTCGTATCTGGACTCATTTGATATCCACCTTTTGTTCTGCACTCACGGTTAAAGCTTCTCGGCTAATAACATCATCCCTGCTATACTGAACGCTATTACTGAGTGGCGTGGTTGTAAAAGGTGTTGATCATGTGCTCAGATGAGAGAATAGCTGGGGAAGGTGTGGCGAAGCCGTGCCCGTCCGGCCAACTTGGGCCGTATCACAGGAGGAGGAGCGCTGGCATCAGCCGCCGAGCCGACTGAATCTAATATTACCTATGACGACCGGTGGTTAAGAGTATGGCTGCCTACGCGCTAAAATACAGGAATAATAAGTACGTCATGCGCTCCTTCCACTGGGGGCAGGTCTCACTAATCACAGACACACACGACTCTCGCCATATGTTTCTCTTCCCCAACAATTTTTTTGACCTCTTCACGCAGATCCGAACATCTTGTCTTCAGTGCCTCTGCTGCTCGCAACCGAGTCGCGGATCCTCTCTCCGCTTCACTTCCATGCAAGCCCCGCCCACAACATGTATACCCCACATTTCTCAATCGGCGACCCTTTGCTGACCTTAATCCACTTTTTCCGGTCTTCTGGAGTGCTCTGGGACCGTTTTGCAGAATTTTTTGTCTGGCTCCGCCCACCTCGGGCTGGCCCGCCCACAACATGTGTGCCCCACATTTCTCAATCGGCGACCCTTTGCTGACCTTAATCCACTTTTTTCCGGTCCCTGGAGTGCTCTGGAACCAAGCTACAAATTTTTTGAATGTGCACCCTATGAATGAGAGCAAGCTCCGCCCACTGTGGGCGGGTCTCAACACACCTCAGGCATGCCGAACTCTCCCCAGGTGTTGCCCTCCTACACCGACTTTTTTGCGATTTCTAAACTCTCTCGGGAACCGAGTTAATGAATTTCTCGGGAAGCACCGCCTATCTCAAGGACGCCCGCCCATTTCGGGTATGTCTCCCCTAATTGGTTCGACAACCTCCTTGCTAACCTTATTCCACTTTTTCCCCATCTCTGGGCTGCTCTGGAAGCGAGTTATGAGTTTTTTCTGCGGCTCCGCCAACTTTCGGCGCATGCCCCGCCCACTGTGGGCGGGGCTTAGCATGGGTCACGGGTGCTATTTACATCTTGCCCCATGCCCTACCCATCCCCACCTTGACCCCACCTCTCCAAGTTGTTCTTCTGGTAGAACCGAATTTTTGAACAGACAAACAAACAAACAAACAA